ATTCTCCTTTGCATTTATCGGTGAGAAAGAGACTTTAACAGTTCTTTTTCTAGTAGCTGGAGAAAATGTCAAACAGAAAATGAGAAAACAAGCCATTGATGGGGCCCTCTGAACGCCTGAGCTTTGCAGCTCTTCAGGAAAAGACTGTGACTCAGAGGCTGAATACATCAGCCTAGAGAAACGTCATTGAACGGGATGCTATAGCTTTGCATCTGATGGTGGGGGAAAGCGAGAAGGGGCTGAGGGAGGGAAGAGGAACACTCGAAAGAAAGTCATGGCCTGAACCTGCTCCCCAGTCAGGAAATTAAGACTCCTGTGGAGATTAAGTAGGACATTTTGTAACACATCTTCAGCTACATCTCATCTGACAATTCTGATATCCACACGTACTAGGCATGTACAGCAATGTCATGTAATGACACCAGGAGATGGGGGGGTGTGAGGAATATTGACCTGGAAATTATGAATTAGTCCATCCAAAGACCTTTGAAAGGCACATATTTATGCAAATTCTAGTATGTATTTGTCCTGCCTCAAGAAGAAAGGAAGCAGATGGAGGCATGTTTCTTCTAATTTACTGCCTGCTTTTTCACACACACCCGCCACCCCCTAAGGAAGATGATCTTTCTATAGAAGCTGTATAAAGAAAACCTGTAGGTGGGTTCCTCACTCTCTGCCAAACATCTGGCAGCCTTTAAAAATCCTCAAGTCAGTATCAGCTTTGCTAACTGCTTCCTCTGTGGGCAAATACTTTCCTCACCATCACACTAGAAGAGGAGCAGCGTTTCCCGCAAGTAAGGCTACAGGAGAAGAAAAGGGCTTGTGATTTCATGTACCAGATCCTTCAGAACTGAGGGCACACATTATCTTCTCTTCAGCATCTGGAGTGCATTGAGATTATCCAGATTTTCTTCCAAACGAGTATGATCATTCCAAATTCCCTGTTCTGTTTGTAACCCAGCTCCCCCAAACAGGCACACAAATAATTGACTCCACTGCCTTGGAAGTCTACGAGCCCAAATCCTGTTCTTGGTTGCAGCAAGAACTGTGGCTGTGGAAGTGCAGAGTAACTACAGCACTGCCCTAGAGAGCGGAGAAGGACAGATGCTGCCAGTAGCAGCTTTAGGCACCACCTCGCCCATGGGTTGAATAACCAACTGAACTGCAATCCTTTCTAAAGTCAAGGAGACGTTTTCTGGGCAACTTAGCTGTTTTGCAGAAGCTGCTCTTCTCAGATTGTGGAGTTATTAGGGCCAACATTTTTAGGAGAGATAATCTCTGCTCTTTTCCCTGTGAGTTGTTTGATTAGTCATCTCAGGCAGCTGCTTCCACGAAATGTGAAAAGGCACCATTACATAAAAGCTTGCATGAGCAAACTAGCTGGTAATGAGAAGCAGCGACCATTACTGCATCCTCAATATTGTTTTCACACTGGTAAATTGTCAACTTCACTAGAGCTGCTCGTGATTTGCTTGAGGACATAAAAAGCTTATTTTTTTCAAGAGGAGCACAGCAGATTTCTCTCGTAGTTTTTTTACATTCAACATGCTGCACTTTAAATATATTTATCACATAAAATTAAAAAGGCTTCCAGGAAAAGCCTACCATTGACTCAATTTACAGTTTTCCCATACAGACATTTTAAGGACATTTTAGGTAAAATGAAAGAAATGTCAATGACGTGTGTCTGTAGGAGGGAACATTAGCTGTCAGCTGCCCAAAAATAAAGTCTTCTCTATCAAGAGAAAACAAGTTTTTTACTTCTGAAATGGAACATAAACCTTTCTGCAAAGTTTTTAATTTCAGCTTTTTGAAAGCACAAATATGAGCTTTTCAAGGGCAGCACAAAACCATTTTGAACAAGGGCTTAAAATACCCATTCAAAGTGTGTTGTTTAAAATGGGCTATGAATTCACAGCCTATTAACTGAAACATGTTCCTCTCAAATGAAATTTCCTGTGTACAGGATCCAATCATACCACTGGGACAAGATATACATTCAGTAATTAATCACAACATTACTTGGCCTTTTTGGTGTTTGCCACCTTCCTTCAGGCAATAAACCCCAGAGCTGGTGAGATAAGCATCACACAGGAGCAGAGGAACAGAGAGCAGGCAGGACCCCGCAGACTAACTGAATGTTTTTCCTTAAGAAGTTCCCCTGCCTTTATGTTGAAAAAAAAAACCAACAACCTAGAAAGATTCTGTTCAAAGCCATGAAGAGAACAAATATTCTCTGCTGTGTTGACACCTGCCTCAGATTTAACAGTGTACACAAAATATTTTCTCCGCATGCATTCAGCTAGGAGGAGAGAACACAGATTAATTTTTCACCGTATTGTATGAGGGCTCAGATACATAATTCACCCTGACTTCAGGTCAAATATACCAATGTGTGCTTGCTCCTCTGTAATGTTTACCAGTGTGCCCTGACTGCATTTAGTGCCAGTCCTATTTCCCACGAACCTGTGCTATAGCAAAGCCAGTGCTCAGTCGGCAGCTTCTGCTACTGCTTACTCTCGCGTAAATCCCACATCACCCTGAGGTAGACTGAGTAGAATTCAGCCCCTTCTCTCAGTAATCAGGCCTTTTAATAGGATATAATGGGTCTGCCTCTCACGCTGCTGCAAGTCAAGCATTACTGCATTTAAGTCATTGCACAACTTAATTTCACATTACCGTGAAGAGCTGATGGAAGTACTTTCCCTGCCCCACTCAGACAGATGCAATTGATTGAGAGGAGATGCAAATCCAGCCCATAACTTTGGATTCTTGCAAGGAACAGTGTACAACACTCTGCTGTTGCTCATACTTGGATAAATGTAGAATGAGACGTGTGGCCGGTGTGGTTTTGTAATTACAGGTATATCGGCTTTTTGATGAGGGATTTGCTTAAACCAAACTCCCTACTTGGAACACTCTCCTTCCTTGGGGAATATGAGGGCGTGCACGCAGACTCCAGTTTAGCAATGGAGATCCATTTGCAAAACAAAATCAATTTTAAAACTGATGGCATTGCCTGCAAACAATGGAAACTGGAGAGTGTATCCAGCTTTCAGCAGACTTTCTAACCTAGTCAGCTGCCGCGCTAACACTGGACCTCTTACACTTCCTCACTGCAACAACAGTTTCCCATGTGTTGGCAATGCAGTAGTGGAGCTGTGGTATTCAGAGCCCTGCATCAATTGTACCTGGTGTTTGTAATCCTGGGGCAGGGAGAGATAAAGTCTAGCTGGAAAGTAGGCAAAATTGCACTTGAGATGGGGCCAAGCTGCAGTACCGGAGCTGCTGGTGCTGTGCAGTCTGGGTTCTGACCTTCATTTCAAAGCTTTATCATTGCATAAACCAACTGTGCTCTGGTAGTTTTGGGGTGTAGCTTGCCTTAAGTTAATAAAGGCTTTCAGATAACATTGCTTAAAGACTTCAGTCAACATTGTATCAGGGTGGATAAACAGAATTAAGAATAAATATTCTTAATTCAAAATGCAATCGGTTGATCTGCAATGTAAAGCAAATTATACTTCTTGCCTTCTCTGCAGTGTCCCAAAAGGCAGGGGACTTTGTCCAAAATGAAATTTTGACACTAGTCAAGTGTGAATGGCACTTCACACAGTTTTGTAGAGCTTTTTCCTACAAGCATTTTCCAGCCATTCCCATTAAGAAACAAGCTGTAAGTCCAACTTCAATAAATACATTTACACTGCTGCTTCTGGAATAGTGTCAGTAGGAACGATGTTAGATCTATTTGGCTCCCAACCCGTAATTCTGTATGGTTTCCTCTCATCAGTTTAAAAACCCTGAGTGTACTAGAACTGTTCACTTTGCCCAGACAATAGCCTGTGCAGGTAGACACCGGGGAACGTCCTGCCTATCCCAAGTGCTAGCACCTTTACACACCACTATCATTAACATCTGAGAAAAATAATTAACATTCCATAATTCTCCACATTAGCTTTGTTCTTTCAGATCTTGGTTTCACAGCAGATCTGGACTGGACAGAGTGTGTGTGTACTCCTTGAGAACTACTGCATTTACCCCAGAGCAGATGAGATACGAGAGCTCCTAAACAGGCTCAGGGCCCAAGCCTCAGATTACCAACCAGGCTCCACCATGAACACAATTCACACACAATTTGGGCTTACAAGGCCGATTCTACTCCCACAGTGCTGTTCAGTACAATCGATGCTACTGAAGTCAGTGAAATCAGTCAACATTAAACACCAAATTTTTATTTGGGAGGAAATACTGCATTCCTTAGAAATATTTAGGTGTCTCTCCAAGCACTGAGGCCAACATGTGTTCTTGACTTCCACATATGGTATAAACTCAAAAACCCAAGTCAGTCCATGACACGGGCTCTGATCCTGATTACACAAACAAGGAGTGCAGCGTGGTTGCTCTAACTGCATGCGTGATGATTCTGCTGGTGTTCCCATACTGCAGTTTTATTACTTCCAAATCTACTGCCAAAAGATCAGGCACCTTGTTCGCTTAGACTGTGTCTTCTGGATTCACTTCAGTTCCCTGTTTGCTAGCTCCTGTATTTGGAAAGCTCTGCAGACATCCACTTTTCACAGTGACAGGCTCATTCTTGTCACAAATTTCTACTGAGCTGCTTATTAATAATATCTCAAATTATCAGTGCTTCAATTAGTGCACAACTTAACATTTTTTCACAGAATTGTCATGTGATGGTCAATGGTCTCACCTTTGCTTTTGCAAATGTAACAATCTGTGACAGGAAGACCCACAAAGAACTCGCTACTGTCCATTTACACAGTTTAAAAAGTCCAATTTCTGAAAAGCTTCTTTTAAGAGCCACTAGAAATATATATTCAAATGTACCACGTTTTCATCTCTGCTTTCTTGGGGGAGGGGGCAAGAAAGGGGGTGACACTGCTTGGCTTCATCAGAAATGAGAAGTATTCCAATCACGAGTACCAAACAAAGCGGCAGGAAGATCTCTTGTTATAAAACTAACAATTGATTCTTTCTCACAGATCTATTACTATTCAGGAGGCCAGTCTTACTCTTATGGAGAGTTTAAGAATAGGATAACAGCTGCAACAGGTCCAGGGAATGCGTCAATAACAATCTTCAACATGCAGCCCTCGGACACTGGTTCCTACACGTGTGAAGTTTTCAGCCCACAGGGTGACGCTGGACAGAGTCAAAAATCTGTGATTGTCAGTGTGCTGGGTAAGTGCCCTTCCTCGCTATTGCTGTATTGTAGTTTTCTTCCCGTATTATGAAACACTGAATTCACAGCTCAAAATACATAGGGCCAGAGGGAATAAGAGAACTGTGATAAACAAGGCCCATGCTGCAGAGAAAGGGCTCACTGATGGACTGAAGCAGGGATTTTTTCAGAGGCTTGGAGGCAGGGAGAGCCTGGGCTGCCCTCTAGCTTCCAGACAACGCAGGCCTGGTACCGCTCAGCACCTGCCTTGCTGGACCTACAGAAACATCTTTCTCCCAGGAGCAGTCTTCAGATTCACTTTGTGCTCTCAAAAAATCTACCTGGTGGAAGCAGGTAAGCAGGTAGCTGGAAGTACCCAACTTCACTACATTTTTCATGTTGGAAAACAAAGTGATACTTTGATTAAAAGAAAAAGCCTTTTTAGCTGGGAATGACAACTTCTCTCTGAAGCCATTATTTTCAGGATAATCCAGCATCAGCAAAGACCAAAATTTTACTAATTTTACCTAATGGTGGTCATGGTGACTTGTATAAATCGAGGAAGAGGCAGCAGTACAGCCCCAGTATGCTGGCTCACCCCCATTCCCAGCAGCTCTAAAAACTTAGTATGTGTTGGATGGAATCAGTACAAAGGCTGTTTTGGATGGAAGAAAGCAATAGTTCAACTACGAACAGGCAGGACAGAAAGGCTGAAAAGCAGTGGAATGAGGTATTTTACTTCCTAATATGATTAAAGTTGGTACTAACGCCATCTAATCATTGCTTTTATCTTGAGAATTCATACTGGGTCAGAGTCGTATGACAAATCAGAGTCATATGAGAATGTGATTCTAACATCATTTGTCCATCTGCCAGGGATAAGAAAAAAACATATGTAAACTCAGTCCCTGAAAAATCAAAGTACTACTGTTAATTCTCATCTAAAATTCCCCGAATAAATAGTAAATCTTGAAGCAGTTGAGTAAGAGATTGCACTTTTCACATGAAAACCAAGAAAGGTTGTTTATTTATGCACACAATATTAGGCTGTGTTCATTGCTGGTATGATTCCACTGATGCTACTTTAAAGAACCACAACAGCAGCATACGTGTAGGTAGGAAATGAAAAATAATATGTGGAAATGCAGACAGAATCCTTTCCTGTGTGCAAAGTGAGGAAATGCTATTAAAGCAGATATATTTTTTAACAGAACTATAGTGAATTTATTTCCTCCACAACTGCAATGTTGAATGACCTATTAGAGAGCAGCGTAGG